GGGCTGCCGGTGGGAAAGCCCAGCCTAGCAGCAGCGAGGCAGGAGTGCAGTGCAGGGGCATGGGCCAATCCCCCCCAGCCCCTGGGAGCTGCCATGTCCCCAGCCAGATACCAGCCCTGCTGCCAGGCCTGGTTTCAGACATCCAGCTATTCCCCCTAGGAGCTCAGTGTCTGGAAAACAAGGCACCGAGGCTGGGGCTGCCAAGGCAAACACCGGCTCTGGGAACTGCTGCTCCGGCTCGTCCCCTCTGGCAGGTTCCTGCAAGAGCCCCGTTAGGCTGCCTGTGCCCCCCCGGGAACGCAGGCACCCCGCCGGCCCCCTTTGCTATGGGAAATGGGGACGTGGTGCCCCCTGCAATGTCTTGCATCCTTGTAGCAGCCTCAGCCCTGGAGCTCTCCATGGCTGTGCAGGAGAGGGGTGGATGGGTGCCGGCCACAGCCCCCAGCCTTGCTCCTCGCCCAGGCATGGCTTGGAAATGCGGCAGGTGCTGCAGAACAGGAACGCTGGTTCTGCCCGTGCGTGGCGCCTGTGGGGAGCGTTTGGCCACGGTGGCATCCCCCGGGCTCAGGCAGCTGGCAGAGCAGCGGGCACGGGAGCCACTGGTTTTCCCTTTCCTGGCAGTGATCCCAACGGCATGCAGTCTTTTCCCAGGCACAGAGGGCTTGGCAGCATGGTTTCTGAGTCGAGGAATGGGCTGTGTGTGTTTGTGTTTTGGTGGGGTTCCTATAGAGACTTGACCCCTCTGATGCTTTAGGGGACAAGGCTGCTGCGTAAATCAGAGCGGTGTTGCTCTGCCGGCTCCTTCCCTGACCCTCAGCGGGGAGCTGGGCCCTCACAGCCAAACTTTGCCACGTTTGCCCCACGTAGCAGCAGCGGTGCTGGGGTGGTGAAGCCGTGGGCCAAATTCTTCCCTCATTGCAAGCATTATTTACCATCATTAATTAACGAGCTTAACATGCCAGCCTCTTTGCTAGCCTGTAGCAATCCCCTGCAGGCGGGAGTTTCCACAATGGACTGCACAGGCTGATTTCCCCCCCCATCACCCTGCCTGCAGCTCAGCAGGGGGTTTGCCCTCCCCAGCACCCACCTGGTCCCATGCCACGCACCCAGCCTGGCCCAGCAGCCCTAACAGCGTCCTCGCCATGGGCACTGGCCCCAGCCCCGCGATGGGGGCCAAGCAGCAGGCTCCCTCTCCAGCATCCCTGGGTAGGATGCTCACTGCAGGGGGGAGCTGGGTCCACCCGGGGCCTCACCTGAGACCAAGAGCATGGCCAGGGTGGAATGGGAAGGAGCTGATGCAGGGCTGCTGGGCCTAGTTAAGTCAGCGCTCTTGAGATGGGGAGGAAGGCAGTTTAGGGTGGCAGGGATGCCCCGATGGCTGGTACCTGGGTTAGTTCTGGGTGTGAAGGGGTATGGGCCAGGGCAGGTACAGCATCCTGGCTGCAGCCTGCTCCCAGGCAGCAACCATCAAACCCAGGATTTTATTTTGGTTTGGGGATGGCTTTTTTTTTTCTCTCCTCCCCTCCTTTCTTTTTTTGCTTACGTTTTCTTTTCCCCATGAGAATTTTATTGGGGGAATGCAATGAAGTTAAAAATAGACAAAATTCAGCTCTGCTTGCAAGGGGGTGCTGGGAAGCCTGCATCCATCACAGCTTCCTGCTACCCCAAAGGGGACAAGCGGGCTGCTCGGGCCCCAGGTGGGAGATGTCTCTTCCCTGTCCCCTCACCCTGGTGTGGCAGGGGGGCTGGGCACCCCTCGTGGCAGAAGGTGGCCCCCAGGTACAGGGGGTACCCACAGGGTGGGTGTTAAGACCAGGAAGGTGAAGGATGTGGCAGGGTTTTGGGATCCCATGTGGGGTTAACTATGTGTGTGCCAGAGGGGTCGGGGCTGTCCCTGCGCTGTGGGGCCAGTGTGGGGACCAGGGCACTAACACAGCAGAGTGGCACTTTGCTCGAGCAGAGAAGGCAGCTCTGGCCTCTAACCCTTGGCGCATTTTTGTATGTATTTTTGGGAGGCCTATGTGAGCTGAAAATGCTCTTTTACTTGAGGATTGGAAAACATCCTTCCCCTCGGGGTTGTAATTTTTTTTTTTTTTCAGCTCGGACTTGCTAGTGGGATAAAAAAGTTGGAGAGCTCTGGTGACTACAGACATGGTCTCCAGGGTACGGAGGAAAATAGAGAACAAAGTGGATGCAGTTTTGCTTGGAAAGTCCCCAAACCCTATGAACTTGTGCTAAGCAATTACCCTTGCTGGCTCCCAGCTTTCCTGGGAGCCAGCGGAGCTCAGCAGGGAGCCGTGCCTTGCAGCTCCTCGCTGGGCACGGGGCAGGGAATCCCACCAGCTGCCACGATGCACCAGCAGTCAACCTGTTTTGATGGAAAAAAAACCCCAAAACGGATGATGGGTGCCAGCCTGGGTATCCCCGAGCTGTGGGAGGAGCAGGTTTGTCACCGAGTGGTGTTTCTCAACAGGAGGCTGAGGGTGCCTGGGCCTCCAGAAATGGGGCTGCATCGCTCGTGCTGTCATTAGTCACCCCGAAAAGAGACCGGTGAGTGTACAAAGGCTGGTCCCGGAGGGCATGGTGGGCTGCACACACGGAAAACACCAGGGAAGGCCTTGGTGAGGGAAGGAATGATGAGGGCAGCCCTGTGCTACAAGGTCTGAGCTAGCCTGTGCAGGGGAGTTGGAACCATTGCAGTGTGGAGGGGCTCCCAAAATGCAGGGAGATGGCAGGACAGCACAGCTCTGACATGCCGGGGGCTGGAGCAGCGCAGCTGGGCAGCGAAGCAAGACGGATTTAGAGCATTTGCTGGGAAGTCAATAAATAGGAGCCATAAGGGATGAAGTGCTGGAAGATGTGATTTAAGATGGGATATTAAAAGTGACCCAGTAAGCACAGCTCGCTTCTGTGAGGGCCAAGAACCGGCTCCGATACTCCCTGAAGTCAGCGGTGTGGCTCTCCCTGGCTTGGCCGGGCTTTGGCTTGGCCCCAGGGGGAGGTTAAAGTACTGGGTGTAAATACTGGAGAGGGTGTAGGAGTGCAGGCAGGGATGAAGGAGGAGGAACAGCATGAAGGGGGATTTGACTGTAAATTCCCCCTGCCAGTGCAGCGCACTGGGCTGTCTCGCAGGGAGAGCTGTTGGTGCAGGCTCCGGCCACAGCACTGGGGAGGAAGGCGCTGGCTCTGTCCCTCAGCAGGTCCCCAGCTGGTGGCTGCCTGGGGGCCTCCGTGAGGGAATTTCCCCCCAGAATGTAGGCTGGGCTCTGCAGAAGCTTTTGTATCACCAGTTGGTTTCCCGGCAGGGTGAGCAGCCGGGGGCAGCTCGGGGAGCCCCTGGAGTGCCTTAGGGCTGCTTGCTGGGGGAAAAATACCTGTGCTGGTGGGATGGAGGTGTGCATGCTGCTTAATGGGTGTGCAAACCTGCGGCTCCTCCTCTTGCTCTCCTCTCTCTTGCTCTGTCCTGTCCCTCTGTCTTGCTTGGGGTAGGGCAGAGCGGAGCAGCTCTATCCCTCTCTTCTCCCTGCACCGGCACTGCGGCACAACTGCCCTGCGCAGCATGCTGACAGAGGGAGCAAACGCCTCTGCGCCCCTGCTCCT